AAATATATTATAAAATTTATTATAAATCTATTATTTTTAAATAAAATTTCATTTTTAATAATTAAAATATTAAATATTAAATTTATGATTTTTTTTATAAATACAGTAAATAATATTTAAATATATAAATAAATGTTTTAATATAAATTTATATATTTTGTAAAGTTTTTTTAATATTAAAAAATTAAAATTTTAGCTTTTATAAAAAAAATACTTTTATTAAAATAATTTCAAAACTTTGAACTTAAATTAATGCAAAAAGTTACTAATTAATGTAAATTTTTTTTTTGATTTTGCTTAAAAACAAACTTCATAAATTTTATTTTAATAATATTATTAGTTTATAATTAATTTTTAATATATTTAAAATTAACTTTAAAGTATAAGTAAAATTCCTTCTAAATTTGGAAGGAAAACCATTGAAGGAATATGTTAAATATTTTATAATAAAGTAATGCTACCATAGTATTACGATTTTTATTATATAAAATCATGTAAAAAAAAGTTTTAATATATAAAAAAAAATCATGAATTTTTGTAAAAATTGAGGTAACTGGGTTACAAGAATACCTCGAATAACTGTATAACTCCGAAATCATGTGATCTAAAAAATTTTTTGCCCATCCTTATATGTAAGATTATATGCAGATTTAGAGGGATTTTTAAGTACGCTTTAATATATAAAATTAACCCGAATTAATTGGATTAAATATTTACATAATGACTGGATAAAAAAAAATAAAAAGTTAGGTTAAGTTCATTAATTTTTCTTTCACCTATTTATTATAATAAATATTTATAAACAATTTTTTATTTTATGTCATAAATTTATTTAACAATTATTTTGGAAACTTTACGTTACAATTTTTTTTAGATTTGAATAGCATTCGAAATGTGAATTCTAGAATTTCAGGATGGTAAATAAATTTAGGCTAGTACTTATGCTTGTTTCAGAAACTTTTTTACTACTGTTTTATTTCAGTTTTTATATATGTTCAGGCAGGTTTAAACGTTTATTTTTGAAATGTTAAATTTAATTTTATATTACTTTTAAGCATTTCAACCAATGTATGATTTTCATAGTGCATCACAAACGCTTGCATATGACTAATAAAATTCTGCACATAAATTTTGTAAAAGTACGCGCAAATCTGCACAGAAAATTTTAGAAAAATTGCTGCACAACCCATATACAGTCCGCACAATTCCGCATAGTTGATGATTGTTGATTAATTATCAGATCGATAAAAAAATAATAAAAAATAAAAATAAAAATAATGTACTGTATACTTGGTCTTTCCGAAAATATTTTTAATTGACTCTGTTTAAATGTAATTTTCGAAGATATTCAACCATGATTTTTTTACGAATTTTGATTATCATTATCATTATAATATAATCAAAATTTTACCTTTTTTTTTTTAATGAAAACATAGAGAAGTTTTTAGGCCACTCTAGACAAAGCAGTGAAACTTTTAAAAGAAAGCCGAATTCTGCAACTGATGGGAGTAAAGTTAATAAAAATCAAAAACAGCTGCTATTCCAAAAGATTCATAACGTAATATTCATGATTGGTTAGAGTATCATAATATTGATGAGAAAGTTTTTATGTTTTGTACCTGGTGTAAGAAGGCAGGTTATAACAATCAATTTGCTAAAGGATGTAATACTTACAAGAAGGATTTAATCGATAGGCATGTTAAAATAAAGAGCATAGCCTTTTAGAAAAAGCAAGAAAGGAAATCAACCTAATATTATTCAAAGTATTTTTCAGCAAATTAATATTGACAAAGAAAAGATAATTAATCAAATGAAATGTGTATATTTTGCAGCTAAAAACAATCTTTCATTAAACCTTTATCCTGATTTATGTAATTTAGTATTAAACTCAAATAAAAACACTTCACTAATACAACCTCATCTTCTCCAATTTCCTTCTCTTTCTTCTTTACAACTATCTGTAGATATTCCTCCATATAGATCATATTATACTTCAAAATATACACGAAAATTTAAAAAGGCTATTTTTCATGTAATTGAAAAGACATTAATCAATGAAATTAAAGCTTTTGGACAATAGAGTATTTAATTGATGAATCAACAACAATAACTAATGAAAAACATTTAGTGCTTGTCTCTAAATATATAACAATTAATGTGCCAGTGTTACACTATTTAGGATTAATAAAACTTGATGATTGCAGTGCTAATAATATTATAACATAAATAAAAAGCTTTTTAAACAAAAAAGGTTTACAAATTAAAAATATTGCTCATTTTGGAAGTGATAGTGCTTCTGTTATGATAGGTTAGTTATAATTAAAATAATTTAATAATTAGTTAATTTACAAGGGGTATAATTAATATTAGCCATCTAATTAAACTTAATAAAAAAGAAATACATGACATTTTACCCTTACTAAATCAAGCTATATTTATTATTTTTAGTTACACGTGACTTGTATTTTTAAAAATAACATAAATAATTAATATTGTAAGACATAAAAGGGGTCACTTTGGCACACAAATCAAAGCCACAAATTTATATAGTGAAAAAAAATTGTCACAATAATGTGTCTTGGAAAAGAACTTACCCAAAGTCAAAAAGGAGGAATTATTGTAGCAAAGAAGTTAGGCCATTCTAATAGCAGAATTTTCACAGTTATTGGTTGCTCTCGTTCTTCAGTATGACGTGTGTGGAATTTGTATGAGCTAAAAAGCCTTCCAAAGAAAAGAACAGGTCGACCAAAGATTTTTAATGACTTCGAACGCAAACGTTTAAAGCGTTCTATTCTTAGAAACAAAAAAACCCATCATCAAACCTTCT